TAAGCAGGAGGCAGCCTGGCACGCACCGCACCGGGGACGAGGGTCACCTGAATCCACATCAGGACTTGGGGCAATGTCCTGGGGCTCCCTCCAGGAGCTGCAGGAGCTGAGGGCTCCTCGGCTGAACAAGGCTCCTCAGAGCAAGGAGGCTGCTGCCCAGGGCTGCTCTGGGTCCCCGTTGCCAGGAAAGGACAAGATAGGGAATGGGGTGAGATCTCACACGGGGTCTGCGCTGCCGAGAGAGGGCTAGTGCCCCTGGGACACAGGAACGCAGGCAGCTCTGGAAGAGCCTTCTTGCATATTTGGGTTTAACTATGACTAAGGTGAACTATAATACGCTGTACTTTTTCCAGGTCCTTTCATCAAGAAACTAAAACGCTGCTGGCTTTGCCTTGCACGGCTTGCTGGGAGCCTGAGAGGCGCAGAGGAGCCCCTGGGCTCAAAGCCCTTAAAGCAGCATTTCCGTCACCATTATTATGCTGATGATGCCCCCATCCCAGGCGCCCCTGGAAAAGCAATTTCCTGTCTGATGAGGTGCCGAAAAGATGCCCAGGCCCTGCGTCGGAGACGCTCCCGGAGCTCTGATTAACATTTCTTCCCTTGCTGCTCCTCTCTGCAGCTCTACCGGCTGTATCACCTACCCCATCACTCGGACGCACAACCTTGGGCTCGTCTTTGATCCAGACCCTTTTGTAATTACCATCTGAGTTGAACCGTGCCCAAGGAAAGGAAGTGCTTGCTTCTCTGTCCTCCCTGAAACACAACAGGGCCATCTCAGGGGAAGAAAAATTTTTCATTGATGCTGTTTGCACATCTTGTTTAGATCAGGGCAATTCTTTATTCACAGGCCCCCCAGACTGCTTATTTTGCATTGCCACAACACAAGCAAAATCCCATAGCTGAAAACCGCCCTGGGTCCAGATGGGAACCAGAGCACATTACATCAGCACAGACATCTATGCAACGCTTCTAATGAAGTTTCAGATTGATTTTCTTCCTCAAGGTTATCTGCAATGGTACCTCCAGGCACATTAGAAAACCAATGGCTGAGAACAGTTTGCTCTAACAGGCTTTCTGCAATATCCTGTAAAACAGCCATTTATGGAAGGCCAAGCTATTACGGACGAGAACCTGAGAAAAACACATCCACCTGGAAGAGCAGTGTTAGCTGCTTGACGGATGCTGAGTAGTTACATAGCTAAAGGAGTCACAAAATACCCTCTCTGGCCTAACGAGCTCTGCACAGCCAAAGGAAACCATCTACTCCTGCCCACCTTCTCTGTTTCCAGGGCTAAGGCCACTCCTCAGGTTTCCAATGCCGCTCACACATTCTGGGAACCAGCTGAAGAAGCTCTAAGAGCACATGTTATTTTAGCGGTTGCACAGGTCTGGCTCCTGCAGACACGCTGGGTGAAGGAAAGGCCTCGCTGCTCGGCTGCTACGTCCTTGATCCGCGTTACCCGCTGCGATGCCTCCAACAGCGCTCTGACTAAGCAGCCCTCCTGACTCTGCCTCCTTACCAGACCCGATGCTTTCTTTCTGCAGCAAGATCAGCAACCAGAAGGAGCTGTGGAGCACGACCCCTGCGACGCCAAGGGCAGCATCATGGACACGCAATGGCCGCGTGAAGCCAGTGTCTCGGAAGCTGCAGCCTGGCATCGCAGAGGCCACAGTCCCAATACAGAACTGTGTCCGTCTCTTCCCATTTGCGAGCCCACAGGACTTCCCAGGGGCCTGCAGACCCTTCCAGGAAGCGCTGGAGCGCTGGCGCATGACCCTGCTAAGCCCCCACTGTCAGGGCAATGATGGCACCTCCTCAGTAGGCCCAACACCAGCGCATCCTTCTCCTCTCTCTGCAAAAGAGCCAGAGGAGCTGGGGCTGAGCTACGTCCCAGGGACCAGAAGAGGCACCAAGAGACCACTGGAAGCAGATGAGACACAGGAGGAGAAAGATCAGAAAACTACCATGAGCAAGACTCGTCAGTGCCAATTTTAACGTCCCGTTAGTGAGCAGGATGCCAGCAATTCTTCAACTGAGCAGCTGCCAAGGCTTTGGACAGGCTAAATCCCAAAAACAGAAGCCAGGTGGAAATCCCCAGACTCACTTCCATATTCAATTTCCTGCAACTCTGTAAGAGCACAGGCCCCACTCCACACTGACACAATGTTGGATCAACCACTGCCTGAGGTCTCCCTGAGCAAGTTCCTCTCACTTTCTCATCAGTCCAAAGCTTTATGTCTGTACAAGATGTGTTTCAACAACACACAGCGCTGTCAAATGCCAAGACAGCTTCTTCTTGGGGATGTACTGCATAAGCCAAGGTGTAACGCTGACAAAGATGAATTTGGTACGTGAGATCAGTAATTACCTGCATGGCAAGCTCCCGTACTGCTTTTCCTACCCAAGACAAGAACAACAGCACAACAACACGCATTGTGGGCTTATTCCCAAGATGGGAACTGAGAATCTCAGCGAGCTGCCATAGGAAAGCTACCCATACCAGCAAAGCACATAGCAGTCTGAACTTAACAGATGACAGCTCCTAAAATGACAATCAGTCTACTGCATTCGTAGCACAAGGTTGAAGCAGGTCTAATACTTATTCCCTTTTTTTTATAGAAGTGGCATAATCTGAAGGGAGAAAGAAGGAATTATGCTATTTTCCCCACTACAACTAAGTGTTTTTTTAATTTTACAGAATGATCTCCAAGCTCTCATTACTGCTGGTCTAAAACATTTATTCCCGCCTACTCAAATCTGCCAAAAAAGAAATGAATCATATGTCAATAAAACTTGGGGTCTTGAACATGTGTTTCAGAATTAGTCTCTATAGAGAAACATGTGAATCTGAGCACAGTTACAGCAAGGACTGCCAACTTCATTCATGGTAATTAAGCATCGCCACACACATTTCAGGCATATTTAAGGAGAGCAGAATGTTCCTACGGGGACTGGACAGACAAACTACTCCAGCTACTGCACTCTAGAAACATGTTAATTATCCTGGAAGAAAAAGCCTTCCACACCCACCAGGAGTAAAGAATTTGGCAATACCTGCGCTGACATTTTCTGCAAGGAAATAAGTTCTGCTCATTTCCTGGCTCTGGTTCGACACTGTATGGCAGCTCACCTGGGCCTCCTCTTTGGAATCAATTTAAGCACTGAACGTACAACCCAAACCAAAGAAGCATTTACGTACACGTATGGCCTTTTGCCTGAAGCTAAGCGTGACGTATGGAACTGACACCTCAAGGGTGAGGAGAAGTCACACCACTCACCCATACTGGGAGGCTCCAGCATGATGCCTGACATGCTGGGCACAATGCTGCGTGACCTGATGCATCAGACTGGTTATATCCAAGTTAAGTGTTGGGCAAGCAACCCCCTCAGGTGATAACAGAGATGTTCTGCTGATGATCATGATGTGCTGGTACCCATCAACAGGTGGTGGGGCTGTCTGCTGCAGGAGCTGGACCGTGCCCTCAGTTTGGAAGACACCCATCCATCCCCATCAATCAGCACGTGCCAGAGCTTGCCCAGGGGCTGTCTTGCTGGTGCCAACCTGACTAGGTTGGCATCAAGCACCAGCTCCAGTCTGGCAGCAGCTCTGTCCCTCTGTCCAAGGCCTGTGTGGGACAAGGATTCAGTTGCCTTCATCAACCAACAGCTCACATGCAGCATTTTCCAGGTGGACCCAGTAAGTGCAGAACAGACATTCCCTTAGCCGGGAGCCTTACCACGGCTTTCGCTGCTCTGGTACGAGCCTTGCTCTTCCTTCTCGCTGCTTCTCCTTGCAGCTCCTGTCGTCTGCATTCATCTCCCATATCCCTCCAGCTTGACGTGCTTCTCTAAGTGCCAGCAAAGCCCACACATTTTGTGCCTTTTGCTTTTACGTAGCTCATCCATGCCTCAATTTTCCTTTCTTGCTTATTACTGCTTTTCTCAGTACCTCTCTCAGCTTTTTCCCTCAGTCTGATCTCCATCCCTGGAGGCAGCTGGTGCCGTCAACTGCTGCAAATTGCCACCGCGGCCCTGAATTCCACCTGTGCAGACTGATGATCAGAAAGGCACGGCCATGGGCTTGCATTGCTCTTGAGAGCCCCAGGACACCTTATGCAAAATACATTTCTATCATGTGTACTTTTTTTTTTTTCTTTCCAGTCTATCATGATCTCACAAGCCAAAATAGACACTTTATTCTAATAAGAAACTAATAAGGGCTGTCCCTGTACTAACCAAGGGAGAGTATAAGAAAAAAAAAAAAAGTCAAATTTATCACTCCAAAGGCAGAAGAATGCCCAAGTGAACTGTGAACTGCCAGTTCAACACTGTTTTGATTCAGCTAAGGCTCTAAAGCTTGCAAACTGCAATCACATGGTTGCAGGAGCCAGGGAAGGACAGCTCTGTTCTGCCAGCCTTGCACTCAAATCCTTAGCAGGGAACTTTAAGGTGAGCCTGCATATGCTAAGCTCCTGGTTTGTGTTTTTATTGGGTCCTGGACCGTCACACTGAACAGCCCTGTCCTTGCTGGAGAAGTGGTGGCATGGACTGGGACCTGTTTCCAAAAACGATCAGGTATTACCCAGCCTCTCAGGCAACACTCAAATCTAGTCCAAAATGCATTTATGCAACATGCCACTTAGGTCAGATATAATACACACAAAAAGTTTAATTACTTTCAGGAACATGATAAAAATAAATCTATCACTACTTTACCATTTTTTGCTCAAGGATTATACCGTAAGTCTGCATGTTTACAAAATAGCTGGAGCATCCAATCTTTCTCAAATTGCTGGAGAAGTGGTGGCATGGACTGGGACCTGTTTCCAAAAACGACCAGGTATTACCCAGCCTCTCAGGCAACACTCAAATCTAGTCCAAAATGCATTTATGCAACATGCCACTTAGGTCAGATATAATACACACAAAGTTTAATTACCTTCAGGAACATGATAAAAATAAACCTACTACTACTTTGCCATTTTTGCTCAAGGATTATACCGTAAGTCTGCATGTTTACAAAATAGCTGGAGCATCCAATCTTTCTCAAAAGGGACTGATGTTCCAGGTACTTTCCTGCAGCAAGCTGATGCTGAACTGATGCCAGTGGTTCTGCTCAAGGCCCCAGAGCACAGTTACATTAATAACCACAGAAGTGACCCTGACAGTGTCTTCACAGGGCCTGGGCGCAAACACAGCTCACTTCACAAGAAGGATCTCCTAAAACCTCTGCTGTTGGGCTCAATGATCTTAAAAGCCTTTTCCAACCATATAAAAGCTACAGATTTCCAAAGCTGTTTTGCTTTTTTTCTCATCACGGTTGACATAGGATCCTTTGCCATTGCTTCTCCTTTGGCCATGAAAGGACCCAACTACCCCACCCTCCCTGCCATAATACAGTTTGAAGACCAGTTATACGCTCCGTGTTATTTCAACCCAGCAGATGCTGTATTAAATATATGATAATGACTAATTTCAAACTGTATTGCAAAGTGAGCAAAGGGACCACACAAAAAACAGCAAGCAAAATCATAGAAAGAATCTGACAAATCCCATTACCTGAGAACTAGGAACAAGGGCTTTCCACCAGTGTCCACCTTTCACAAGGTCTACATCGCTCAAGGGCATCGACACTTTGCCAATAACACAATGGCGTGAGAATTTGTCAAAATCCACTACTGTTAAAAGCAGAGTTCTTCTTTGAGCTTCTAAAAACGGGATTTCAAATGTGTACCTCTCTTCAAACACCGGGTTCTGGGTTTTGCGTTTCACTCCCGTCTGCTTGGAGTTCTTCTGGTCTGGAAGGAGGCAGACTTTCACATAGGGGTTGGAATGAGCCATGTCTTGCCTTGAACCATCATAAGAGATGGGAGGAGGCAGATCTTTAGCCTCAATGACTCGGACTATTAGGTAATTATGCAACAGATCATACTGAGTGCTAAAATGCAGCATACCCAGCTGATACTTCGATAAGATTTCCTCGTCCGTCAAGGAGTCCATATCATCGCTGTTTGAGTCAAGAGAGTACAGTCTTGGTTCAAATTTTCTAAAATAGTCATCTGGGGTATAGGTTTTTCGCAGGATAGTTGGTTGCACTATTTCTTTTTTAGCTCCTATAATTCCAAACTCAATAGGTTTAATGTCAATTAAGGGAGAGCTGGGCCTCCTGGACTCTAAACCTAAACAAGAGAAAGGTACAAACAGGACTGTTAGAGAGTCAGTTCAAGTCATGACACCGTGAACAAGAAGTAGCAGCATCTTTAGTTACACCAAAGTGCAACCTTGGCTACACTTTTGCCCCTGTGGCCACTTCCACATGCAATCCCCATGCACATGCTTTGGCACCAAGAACAGGGCTGCCCCCATCCCGATACAACAGGATCAGATTTTAACCAACATGCTCCCAACTTCACTTGATTCCCTGTTTAAAGGGTGAAAGAGCAGGCAATACACTGCTTTTTTTCCCCACCAGAGCTACATTAATGTTGGCAGGGCAGCCTTACTTGAAATGCGCCTCGTGAGGCTGTACGTGGAACGCGATGTGTCCGAGGACGACCGCCGCCTGTCAGTGGAAGCATCCTGGAGAGCGGGAGGCAACTCGCTGATCATATTATCGGAGTCTCCATCCTTGTCCTCATTCTGGCTGCTTATCCTGTTGCAATGAGAGACCTCCGGGTGATTCAACCCAGCAAAAAAGACTCTACAAATTAAAAAATGCCTTGTGATATTCTGGGCCTAACTCGGGGGCACGTCATAGAGGAGCAGGGTAGCTGCTTCGCCTCTGCTCAGTGGGGAGGAGGACGAGGAACCGACGTCGGACCTCTGCAAAGCGAGGTGCTCCACCGCCTGCCTGGCTTCAAGCAGGGAGCAGGTGCCATTGGAGCAGGTGCCATTGGAGCACCACACGGGCCACGCATGACTCAAATCCCAATCAGACACATTACAGTCATCTTAAAGTAAAAGAATTAGCTTCTGCTCTAAATTCATGGCTACGCTTGGAAGCATGGCCATCATTAGGAAAAAAACAGCATGGAAAAGCACCACACACAGCCCTCCCACACCGCTATGCCCATCTCGCACAGTAAAATACTTCTTTGCAAATATATTACTGAGGTTTCCAAGTTTGATCCTATAAATACAAATTATTAATAGCTTTTTATTGACATGCCTTTTAAAGAACTCCTGGCTGCTTTTTATGCATTTGTATGAACCAGAAGAGGCTCCTCCTGCCTTGGGCTCTTTGCAGGATGGGGGCCAGGGCAGGAGGGAACTCGGCAGGATCCAGATAACAAAAGCAGTTTGAGCGAGAGCTGCAGCATCTCTGAGAAGACTCAGGATCCACCAAAGAACAGAAGACTGATCATAAAAGAGCCCACAGCGAGCAGCTGATAGAAATCTGCTAGTGGAAATGAAATCAAGCAGTATGATGTGACACCTACTGCATCAAGTTAAAATAAGTCTTTGAGTTAAACCAGGAGACAGACTAGCCAGAAAAATAGCAGCAGGCCACAAGGAAAGCCTCAGCACAAAATGAGCAAGCAAACAGGAATATTGTTTGAGTTTTGCTCCTGATTCACTCTTTCTGCGCTCACGGGTAGATTAGATATAAACGAACTATGGTGAATCACTTGCTTTACTAATCAAAAACTAAAATACATCAAGAAAAATATTCTGCCAAAAAGCAGCAAACTAACAGGAAAGGCCCTCGACTATAAAATGTATTTAAATTTAATTTCTTACCCTAATCTACCCTGCTATCCCCACACTTCAAATCCAGATCCAGAGCACATACAGGTGTCACCAACCTTGAGTTACACAACTCTCTCAGAATAAAAACAAAAATCAATTTAATATCAAATCAGACACATGTTAAAAAAGGCCATACAGTATCTGAATAACTTTGCAGCCTATTAAGGGTAGTTCAAATCAGGCAGTTTGACATAGTAACAGTCTCAGGAACACAGATCTTTCTCTGGCCCAAATGTAGGTCTACACAATCACAGGGAGCATTTGGAGGTACTTGCGTTTGAGAAGCAAATGCACAGACTGAGGAAAATGCAGGGTGAAGAGCAAATCAGGAAGAAAAGCATTAAGAATGTTCTACAGTGAGTAAACGCAATAGTGAGCTAATAACATACAGATGACCTTCAGTAAGGAAATTGCTACTGAGCCACAATAATTTTTCCTCAAATAAACTTTGGCTCTGTTTAAAGTAGCTCTGTTTCTGTTTAATCAAAACCTTTGGGAAGAGAAGTTGAGTTCAGATTTCAATTTAATCTCACAGAATGTGCACCATTTATCTTTGACTTTTAAAATGCAGAATATTTCATACTACACAGGGCAACGCACACCCTCATTCCCAGCTGATTGCTGCAGAGACTAGGATACAAGCAGAACTCATGAAATCACCGTAACAAGCTACCATGCCTTCAGGTCAGCACTATTAGATTCACTTTAGCAAGGAAATCTTTTTCTAAGTTGCCACTGGAGGCTACTGTAAGAAATTCAGAGTAAGAAAAATTAAGTCTCCCAAGAGGAAGGGCTTAAACTTGCAGCTTTAAAGCTCCCTCTTGAATTTCCAGGACACCAGGTGTCTCAGAGTTGCCAAAGACAGAAAATACATGCAAAAAAAAAAAAAAAAAAAAAAAAAAAAAAAAAAAAAAAAAAAGACAGATTATTAAACACAAGGATTCAAACGTTCACTAGCAGGCAAATGAAGACCATAAAATCATTTTTTCACCGAAGAGAGTGTGGGGAAGGAGAAATCTGAACTCCAAATTATATCAGTCAGTGTCCCAGGAGCTCAAAGAAATGGCAAGATTGAAAGATCTTAGTTGAAAAGCTAGAGCTATTTTTAAAATACTTTCAGGCTGTGAGAAGGGAATACAATAAATTGATTTGTTCCCAAATACAGCACAGGTATCTAAACGCAGAACATGGTTTTGTCAAATTCATCTTCTGTTTTAGGGGCTTCCACGATATCTAAAAGCCTTTGTTGTCTTTGTTTTCTGTTGTAGGAAAAAGAAAACAAAAGGAAAAGAAAAAAAAATAAAATCAATTAGCATAGACAGACCTGTGAGTACTTCAAAACATACCCATTAAATAACTTATTTTGAAGCCAAGTCCCAACCTCTTCTCTAGTCAGGCACCCAACTCCAAACATTCTGTTTCTTTCCCCAAAAAAAACTCTTAAGTGAATTTAAAAGTGTATGACAAACATAATCTACTCAGCAATTTTCACCTTCTGAATTTGGCATTGACAGAGGCTGCCTGCAACCATTTCCACCCTAAACATGGTCAATCAGCCTGGCCTTCCTTGCATCAGCCAGCATAAGGCTACATTTCTGTCCCTGCATTTTTCCGCTTCATCTTCCAGGTCCTCATTTTTCCCCCCAAACACATCCCTCGTCCTGCCTCTGTTCTCCTTACCCCATCCTACTCATTTCTTACAGTTTTTCCAGTGAAGTTACCCTAGAAACTTAAGACACCATCAACCTTCCCTGACACTGCCCGAGCCAAGTGCTGCTGTAGGACAGGGGCAGCAGTCAAGGCCACTCTCCACTTCCATGGCCAAACGGGTTGGCAGAGGGGCTCAGAGGCCACAGTTTTACACCAGTGCCAGAGGAGACGGGGACATCCAGACCAATGCTCCAAGCACAGCTGTGTCCCCTGCATCTCCTTGGTCACTGCCCTGGGCATCACCTGCAGGCACCCAGTGCACCATAGGGCCCCAACTGCACCAGGTCCTCTGAAGCTGACCAGGAAGATGGGCAAGGCAGGTGGGTATGAGGAGCCCGAGCCAGGCAGGAGCTGAGAGCAGCAAGGAAAGGGATGTGGTGGGAGCACTGGGCTTTTCAATCAGAGCTCAGCATTTTCTGCATATGGTCATTCCAAGAAATTGATGGAGGAGGCTTTCAGATGAAGCAGGACTGTGGGAAAACAATGCAGGCTGGAGAGAGCACTTCATGAGTCCAAAGGTCTCCATACTCCCTGCTTGTGGCAAAGTCCAGCTCACCTGCAGAGCCTGTGAGTTTTGAGGCCACAAGAGGAGCAGAGACCTTCAGTGCTTGCGATGCCCCATAAGCCATGCGAGAGGATCGAGCGGCCCACAAGCAAAGCAGAAAAGGTCCTGGCACCCCATGTCACCACATGCACATGATGTCCCCTCTGCTCCGGAGCTCACACGGGAAATGCTAAAGCTCCTCCTTTCACAGCAAGCCTAGCTGTTTGTGCCCAGCATGCGGTCGTCTCTGCAGCAATCCTTCCATGTCCAATACTGCTACCTCATCACTATGCTCTCTTGTGCACAGTGCTTTCCTAGTTAGCATTGATTTTGCTTCCATTTCCCATTAATTGCAGGTGAATCCATCTCTGGGCATAGATCAGACTCTTAAAAATGCTGCTCCACATTTAAAAACCTCCCTAACACATCTTTAACATCTCTATTCCTTATTGCTTTGGTATTAGTTACCACACTATTCTTCAATGATACAAAAGAGTACATGAACAAGCCTGAGTCAAACATGAGGCAATTTATTTCATGTAGCACCAATACATGGACCTTCCAGACCTGGCAAGGAATAAAATAAGTACTTGCAGGAGGAGATAAAATTAACTGAGTGCCTTTGCTGCCTGCGTGCCACCATCGCAGCATCCTGGGATGCATCTCCCATGTCACAGCTTCAGCGCACACCAGGAGACAGGGCACGTCCAGCGGGTGCTCTGCTCCCGGGGAGGAGCACGGCCAGCTGAGGGACCAGCCCCTGAAGGACTGGAGACCTCTGCTCCCTTCCTGCCTTCACTAACTGCTCCACGGGGCCGCCCCTGTGCTTTGGTTTCCCAAATGAGGGGGAGTAAAATGGGAAAGATCCCACTGACTTTCTTGGAATATGTTTGCAAAAACACTACTAATCAAAGATAAAACCTGTGTGTTACTGCTGCTGTTGTTTATTGATTCAAGGGGGAATCCTGGACAGCACAAAGATGATTCAGGAAATCAAGTCTTGCTAAATGAAACTTTTGATGAATTTTCTCCTTCAGCACACAAAAGCCCTTCACCTTGCTGCATGATAATCACCTGAACGCCAGGATGAGTTCTTCCACTCTTAAGAAGGTCCAAAAACAACCCTGCCAACATCGCCGCTAAGCTAACAGACTCCAAAAGGATGGCCCATTTGAAGAGGAAATGGGACTTATCATGAGAAGCATCCCCTTTAGCACAGCTAAACCAACCACCAGCTCGCTGCGCAGGGTAAAACTCAGTGCTTAGAGAGATACCCCCTGCCCTCCAAGTTAGGAGGGCTGGTGGTTATATACCCTGCCACGGCGCTCCCACCCCCGGCAAGAGGTTCCTCCTCCAGCTCCCGAGCATCCCCACCGTCCCACAGCCATCCTCCCGTCGCGGCAGAGCTGGAAAACGGCACAGCTAAACTTACAGCCAGGCGGGAGTCTGAGCAGGAAAAGGTCCCAGGATTTCAACTTCATCCTCACTGGTTTGACAACAGCTACAGTCGAAACACTTCTGACAACAATTCCTACAAGTCCAGCGGCACAGCAAGAGATCTGAGATCCTAGCGAGCAGACCCTGAAGCCATTGGAAACCAAAGCACAAGATTACGACTGGTCACTAGCCAACAAGGAATAACATTCACATGTATTTATGTGTGTTTTGCCACGGCACAATGTTAAGGCCTGTATTTATTCCCTCTCTATGCACAGGCGAGCACTCCGCTGTGGCTCAGCCCACTCTCACCAATGCTGTAGTAAATAAGCATTCGCTGCAGGTATTTCCCCATTACTGCAACATTTTATTGGAGATGCCAGAAAGAGGGCGATTTTTACAAAACACTGTGGTGTAACACACAGGGCTGGAGTGGGAAGTTATTACTCTTAATGCTTACTCTTTAACCCACATCAGCAAACTAACAGATCAGCAAATGCAGGACAGGAGTTAAAAGCAGGCGAGCGAAGTCACTGATTTAGTTATACAAGCTATCCCGTTTAATTTGAAAAAAATCCTCAGCACAGCAACACAAATACATCTCACCCCGTAGATGCATCAGCACGTAACATTTGTACGAGCTGCACATGCAGAGCATTGCAGCCCTAAAGATTTGTCACAAAACAGATGAGCAAAGGCAAAATATCCACACGCCTGCCCCTCTACTGTGATGGTTCATTAAGCCCAGAACCTTCCATGATTCTTTTAAATAGGTTGCTTGAGCCAGAAAAGTTCCATGTCTTTGGCTCCATGTGGCACTAATCCTGCTGCCCGTGACTGAGCTGCTCTGCTTTGGCACACATGCCTGTGTGAGCAGACACACACGGATTCCCCATCCACCCTGAAGGACATGCTGCTGCGTTGCTTCCATAATATTCCATGGGAAAACCACCCTTATGTACGAAGGAGTTGCATCTTTCTCTGCTGCCTCTTGCTCTGAGGTTAAGATAGGCTGGAAACATTTCCTTATATTTGCATAAAATGATGTCTTTCCATGAATAAAACAAGAATATTTTGGAAAGAAAGGAGGAAAAAAAAGAAAAAAAGAAAGAAAGAAAAAGAAATCACCAGGCCCCAATTGTGGAGCCCAGCCTGCATGTAGGACCTGAGCAAAGAGGCAGCAGGCAGGAGATGAGCCCCTGAGGAGGCAGCGCGAGACCGAGCCCGAGTGAATCATCAGATTAACTCACCTCGTTTATTGGCTCCAACTGTCCTTTTAGACATCCAAGACGAAGCAAAAGGGAACAAAATGAAAAAGGCAATAACAGGTTAGCAGGGCTCAAGTAACTTTAAATTTTCTGCCCGGCATGCCCTAGCCTGGACAAGCTTTAGTTTCTAGCTAGCTACCACCTGCGACGGCAGGAGCGAGGAGAGCTCCCAAACCAGCACCAGCTGCTTCTCCCTCCGTCCCTTCCCCACTGAGCTCCTCCTGCTCCTCCTTCCAGCAAGGAAACAAACTCCCCAAACCCATCCTGAATTACAAACACCCCAGGACAGATCCTCCTGCCTGCAGCCCCTTGCTAATCCCCATATCACTTGCGACCATTTTTTATTTTTTAAATAACTCATCTCAGACTGCAGCAACTATTTGCTGCTGACAGGAAACCACTTCCCTTCCAGTTGCACTCCACAGCAGAAAGAGCCCTCATCCAGATTCAGCACATAAAAACACGGTTTTGACCCCAAAACATTAAAGGCAACATTTCCAGGAACAGGAGACCCAGGTTTAGAGCAGTTGCCATTTTGTACACATCTCTTTGAGGCTGCTTGGCATCTTCAGCCTCACCCTCAAACTGGAATTAAAAAGAGAAAAAAAATACAAAAATACAGAACGCTCAGAAGTTACGTGCTCAAAACTGGAGTCACGCACTCCAATTCTGCACAGCAGACTCTTCTCTAAAGCAGCAGAGAAAATCTATAGCAAAAGAAGTTCTCAGAAACAAAAGCTTTGACCCCAGAGCCATGCCCAGAGCATCGCACAGGCTCGACGACATCTCTAGCTGAGCACTCAGCAGCATCCCAGACGCCTGCTGAAACGTCCCTCCTAGCTCTTGTTCCTGCTGCTCTTTAGGAGTTTCCTAGCTGTGCTAGCTGCTTTTCTGAATCCTAAAATACAAAGGAAAAAAACCTCCACACGTGAAAACCTGAGCATCCAGCTTCATGCTCATAGTATAGACAACAGCCACCTGTTATGAAGAAGCTCGGATGCAGGATTTACTCCTAAGAATATTCCCAGGGATCATACTTTAGACCCCGAACTCTCTCCAGCTTCTCAGACACGGGTGTTCGGTAAAAGGGCCATCTCCAAAGCAAGGAGCTGCAGCTCAGCGCAACAGAACAGTGACGAGACACCCATGGACCAGCTGTTTAAGAAAACCCAAACAGTTTTAAGGGTTTTCTCATTCCTTATTAATGCAAAGTAGCAGCCAAGGCGGCAGCGGTTTCGCCAAGCCACAAGAGGACTGTTCAAGCTGCCGGGCCCTGAAGCCGCTGGACTCGTGCCACAGCCCCGCGCCGCGGCACGTGCGGGAAGGGAGCACGAAGCGGCATTTCCCCGCGGCCTGCGGTGACGGCCACAGCGGCTGGCAAGTCACGGCGCTGCTCGTGGCCAGCGCAATTAACGAGAAGCCGCCGCTGCAACGGGCCAGCGGGCCCGGAGCACCCGCGGCGGTGCCCCCGA